CGAGGAACACGAACAGTCGTGGGCGACTGGGGGGAGAAATGAGAGAGGCACACGAACAGCCAAGGGGCTTATTGCAAAATGATGCGTGTCCCAGCGCCCAGGTGGACTACGGTGAAACCCGATGTTGACGCTTTTTTGTGGCCAATACAAGATCACCTAACGATTTGCGGTGTAATCAATGGAGTCGTCAAAATCAATAGATCAAAATTGGCTAGTGAAACCGATTTCGAGATTAATTCACTTTCGCGGAATCACACGACTAATTCACAAGCAAATTAGCAAAGAGGATAAATATCGTACTTACGTGACGACGAACGAGTAGTTTCCGAGCAAACTAGCAAAGGATAATCTTCTCGCTTTCGTGGAGAGGCACGACTGTTTTTCAGCGCAAAACGGCAAAGATTAACCAAATTCTAGGGTTGCTAGAACTCAGCCATGAAAACGAAATAGAAAAGAACTAAAACGAAAAGAAGATGAATAGTAGATTGATAAATTGTTCGGGCCTTCTCTAATCTATCGTCACCAGTATATATACTGGTCACTCTAATCAATCTTTAACAATCCTAATTGATCCCACAAAAATATGGAAAAGTTTAATCGGAAAGGAAACAAACTAACCGGCTAATCCGTTTCTATCTATCTTGCCGCAACACGCGCTAACTGGCTTCATCAGCTCTAACACGCCACGCCAGCACCAGCAGCCAGCCTAATGCATCCATGAAATCAGATGACCACATCCATGCATCCATCTGCCTCTGTCTAATCACCGTCATGCAGACCATCGAGCAGCAAGCTAGCACCAGATACCTTCCAGTGCACCAAATAATCCTGCACACATATAAATTGCGCTACTCTTATAATTAAACCACTAAACAATCACACCAACTATTCTACATAATTTGGCCTGAGTAAATACACTAATTATAAGCCAAATTATGATACAAACACCCGAATAGTGATTAGGCACCTAAACGTCTGTTTTGCAAGTTTGGGGACCGGTTTGATACAGCTGCACAAGTTAGAGGACCGTTAGTATACTTTACTCTATACCTAATTACAATTAATTTAAGACTAACTATTCTTTTAGTAATAGACAACAAAGTGTGACTATTAAATTCATAATATACCGATCCAGTTACTCGAAGGTGCTTACAGTCCTAGTGTGTATATGAGTGGTTGTCTTGGTGGGTTAGGGAAAGAAAATACCATGGCACTGACTGATATATTTATAGTGCGAGATACCGGATGGATGCAAAATTTACATAAACAATAACGCCCTTTGTCCTGTGAGGCTACGAGACTTGTTTTCTGTGTGTTGGGGTTGGGGGGGGGGGTGGTTGAGGGGGTTAGTGGTTGCGATGACTAACATATTTTTCATGTAATTGACAATGCCGAAAACGAGTTATTAATGGACAAAACATCATATGCACGATTGTGTCGTGGATGTTACATATATCATTCCTAGGCATACAACAAATAATGAAGACAAAATAATACATCCTCTCACCCAAAATAAAGGCACAATCAGTTATTTCGATGTTTCTTAATACAAGTCCCACATGCATGCATGCCACTCGCTAGCGGTATGGTGATAGAGTCGTGGATGCATAACTCCATTCACTAGAGTTCAAATACTGGTGCTTTCAATAGGATTTTAGTGATATTAGGGATATATGTCATTTGTTTCCGTATCTTTGAGCATATGTTATGAGGTGTATTCGTGAAGGTGCGAGGGTACAGTTGCGTGTGTGTTTATCGTGTAATTGAAAAAACTTATACATCCCCCTCTCAAAAATTCATTATTTGTCAATCCTCCATTCTCAATAACTCTATTCCCATTGGGTGCATGCATTTTATTTATTTGGGTGATCCTAACAAAAAGGTGATAATATTTTTTTTTGTCTTTGCATTAATAGTGGCCGGGTCTTATATTTTGAAATGGAGGGAGTAAATCTATAAATCTACTCATCCATTTTAAAATACTAGTGAGTGTGCACGTGCAAGGCACGTTGATACATAGAATTGAAGAAAATACGGTTATTGTTGATCATTTATTGATACATTATTAAAGAATCATAGTAGGAACCAAGTAAAAATAACATTATTGTAAGCAATACATTGGTAATTCATGAAATAAACCTTAATTGTTTATTTATTACATGACAATCAAATGAAAAAAATGTAATATTTATTTGTCATCATCGATTTCACATTCACTTCCAGGTCAGTCCCTCTCGGGAGATGAGGTAGTGTCAGTGTCACTCAGTTCTAGATTGTTTCCCTACATCTTAAGGCAATCTTCACCTGATCGTAGAGGACGATATCGTTTATTAGGTCGTCTCGAACATCTGCATGCACATGTATATAATATGATGCATTTAGTATTATGTTAGTTTGTACATTGAAGCAGAAGAAATGAAATACGTGTATGTAGTTGGAAGAGGACCGTACATCCCACTGTCTAGCCATAGCGCAACGGTAATGGTTGTATTGGTCGTACTGACCAAACTTTCTGAAAATCAGGTATAGATGATTTATGAAGCATTTTATAGAATAAATATATGTAATTTAGATACATGTGTATAGACATATACGTACCCATGTAGGAGGTGGAATTACAGAAGGTGTAATTACAGGAGGTGGACTTTTCTTTCTTGCATGAAATTAATATGTAGCAACAAAGTTATCATTCGAACGAACACTATGTTTGTGAGATAATAATTTAAATGCAATGAATAGGTTTAGGATGAATACTTTTTTTTTGCTGGTAGTACTCTCGCATCTGATGAAGCCTAGCTTCCTTTTTCTCAGCACTGAGTGAAGCGTACCGGTGCCTAGCACGCTTCCATGTAAGTTCAATTGGAGTTAGATTAGTAATGTCACCAAGTGTACCTGCAGGAAGATGTATTCAAATCAATTTCAAACTGATGATAGCAAACAGTAAAACAAAAGGGAGCAAAATAATACCTGTTGGAGATATGGTTGCCTCCTTTTTACGCTGTCTATAATCACGGTTCTTTTGAAGCTTAGCCTCTTTTTTCTCGGCAGGAAGTGAAGCGTACATCTCTTTATCACGCTTTCTTCCAAGTTCGATTGCACTTAAATTAGTAATGTCATCAAGTGTTCCTGCATGAACATGTATATTAATCAATCTCAAACCGATGACAGAAGAGATTAAAACAAAAGCGAGCAAAATAGTACCGGTTAGAGATGTTTTTGCCTCCTCCTTACGCTGTCTATAATCACGGTTATTTTGAAGCTTAGCCTCTTTCTCCTCGGCAGAAAGTGAAGCGTACACCTCTCTATCAGGCTTTCTTTTAAGTTCAACTGCACTTAAATTAGTAACATTGGCAAGTGTACCTAAAGAAAATTACATAAAACATTTGCATTAATGTGGCATCCCACCTCTCTTGGGAAAAAAATTGTTTGTGTGTAGCAGTGATGTGAACCTGTGACAATTGTAGAAGATGGGATAGACACATTAGAAGGTGTTTCATTTCGAACTTCAAATGTAGCAATCGTCGGTGACATATTTTCATCACTGTCGATTCCTGAAACATGCTTAAATATGGGAAACAGTTTTAGTCGCTTAGGTGGAAGTCCACCTACACCCATCTCCATCCATTGATCCTCGAGATGCGCGCGTAGGATTCCCCAACCAACTGTATTCCCATGTATTTCTCCGTACTTCCACATTTCTTGCGAGCCGTATAGATGCATTATGTTACATCATGCGGGCCCACAACTGAGTGCGATAGATATCCATTGGGTCCTTTTTAGACTATCTCCAACAGGCTAGGCATAGTGGCACCCAAACTCAAAATGCATGCTTCAGGCCACTGTAGCGGAACAAAAACACAGTCCAACAGATTACCCATACAAAGGACCCATTTTGGGTGCCAGGTAGAGTGCGACCCAAATTTGAGTGTTCTCTCTCATCGACCCAAACGCCTGGCTCGCAAGGCACAACGATTTCACGGGAGGTGGAGAGAGAAACTGTCCGCGTGCCGGTTTTCTTTTGCGTTCTCTATTGGAGAAGGCGAGAAATAGGTTCGTGACCTTTTCCTTCATCGCGACGCATACCGTTCAATGGGTCTCCAGTTAGGGGTAGTATTGTTGGAGATAGTCTTATATGTGATATTGGACTGACCCAATCTTCTCTTCATCCAATATCTGGATCATCCTTTCCCTTTCCTCACACTCACAGCCCTCTCCTCTATCTCTATGGCTAGCTATTCTTCATCGCACAGCGTCACCAACCTTCACCATGGAGTGTTGTTCGAGCAAGTCCAGCTCAAGCCGATCCGCCGGAGCTCAACTGTGCATGCGATTTCTCTGCCACTGCACAAACTTCGCACACTGAAAACCCGAATCGGAGTTTCCTCACATGCGGCAGCAAGGTAAGCCATGGAATGCTCAGAAATTCTTAGGAAGTCCTGATGCGATTCCATTTCTTCGTCTCACTTTGTCCCCACCCGTTTTCTAGAATGGATGTCATCTTTGGATCTAGGAAGACCGTCTCCACCAGTATGCGGACCAAATGGTGAACTATTGCACTTTGGGGATGACCAATGTGTTCGATAAAGCTGGCGGACCTTCAGGTATGATTTGGAAGAGAATAACAAGCAGATTGCGCGCCTACAAGACGACCTAGAGAGTGCCCACCCTTCTATTGAAGAAAACATCTTGAAGCTCAAGGAGGCAGACGGAAAGGGCTGACAACTTGATGTAATGGGGAGAAATGGAATAATATCCCCACGCTTTTTTGTTTATTCATTTCTTGTTGTCATTGCACTCATCGGAGCAAACCATAATAACGGGTACAGATATTAAAAATAAAAACCCAGGAGTGCACATTGTTACGGACACCATAATCGAAAATACAGAAGACAGACTAAATTGCGGAGACATTACAATATGAAATATTGGATACGAACAAAACAAGTAGAAAATAACAATAATCAAGAAGATAGGACACCAGCATGCTCACACAGAACAAATCAACGAATCCACCAGATGAGTAGTCATTAGATAAAAAGTTATCAACACTATGGTGCTGTACTAGGAGTTCAATCAGAAACTAGAGTTCATAACATCCCACAAAACTAATCAGGGGGGACTTAGGGGGCAACAGTTTAGTCCAACTGAAGATAACAAAATACTAACAGTCTATTACAAATACGATGGGTGAAGATTCCCCAGCATAACAAAATACGCACATCTAATAAATGCCTAACTGGGATGCTAATAATCAGAATCACTCCAACTTGCAACCGAGCGGGATGCTTGATTGTTCACAGTCCTCGGATTGTCAGGGCATCTACGAGAATCGTGCCCTGGTTTTCTGCATACTCTATAGAACCTTGTCTGCTTCACAGCGCCGGGAGTGGTACACTTCTGTTTCTTCGGGGCAGAACTAGACACCTGGACCCTTGTAATCCTTCCATCCAAACTGGAATGGTACATGCGGTTGCTAGGGCGTCCTGTGTGACGCCTTGAATCAGGTGGCTTAATATGTTCTACACTAACAACAGTGTTGTTCTCGCTATCATAAATTTCCATCCCAGCAATACAGACCTCTTGGCTTCCAGGATTAACTTGCTCAGCATCTTCAACTGAAGTTGCCTCCAGCATTCCAGTTTTCTTTGATGCATCAACCTTAGCCGCCATCATCTCCATCAACTCCTTCCGCGCAGCACCATGGTGCTTGAGAAGTACCTGGAATGCCTCAGGGTCAGAGTCACCCATCTTCACAATCTCGTTGGCTGTGCTGTTAAGTACATTGTGCCTGAACATTTTTGCTTGATTTGGGCCATCTGTGTCGACAGCTCTTGACAGGTGGACAGGCAATATGTCGCACGCTTTCTTCGTCCACCTCACCATTATGTGCGGATCCGGTATCTTGTGGACACCGCTGTGTATCATTAACTGCATACAGTTGAATAAACAAAATCAAAATGTAAACAGCTTCCACGCTATAAACTATGCAACTTCAAAAAGTAAATTGTTCTCCATGTCACTAAATTACACATAATGCATGGCAGCAAGGGATGTCGAAGTGGTTGTATAGCCCAAAATCGCAATTAAAAGACCCATCGACATAATCATGCTTGACATAGTATGTCCCTCGACACCATGATTCAATCTCATCTGCATTTACATGTGTGATCTTGAACACATTGTTACGTTCTCCAGGACTGACGATGTAAGAAGTTGTAAGCTGCAATTATGTATATTTGCGCAGCTGCCTAACAATCGGGTATCCAAATGCAGGCCTGATATGAACCTTTTCAGAATGAAGAAATAAAAAAGGTTGATCAGCAAGGGAAAATATATACAACATTTGTTTGCATAAGTTTCAGAAAAAAAATGAGAAAAAAAAAGGTTACCTGAGAATTGTCCTTCTGCTGCTGGTCGTCGTCCTCCTCCCTTTGTTGTACCGGCTTCATGTATTGCTCAATAAAGTCGTGTAGTGGGGCATTGCGAGGAACGCGCACTCACTACGTTGTGTGCTAGTCATCCGTGCGCAAAAAACATCCTTGAAATATGGCTTCGCCCACATCTCTCTGCTTTCATACGCACGAGTGAGGAATGGGTTGCTTTCTAGATTATACTTGCTGATCAGTGCTTTCCAGGCCATTTCAAACTCTTCAATGGTCATCATGTCATGTATAATCTTGTGGAATTCATCACGGAAATCCTTGTTGTTCACGTACCCATGCCCTATGCCATTTGCACCACCTGTGAATTCATGTATAATCTTGTGTCTTTCAAGACATGCCATTTGCGCCACCTGTGAACTATGTTGGGATAAACTTCCTAATTACAGCCTCCATGGCAAGGGCTTGATCTGTAATTGTCACAACAAACACAAGAATTAAAAAAGGATGCAGGGAGTGTAAGAGAGATGGAGTTAACTGCCAGCATGCTAGTTCACAAAAAACATATAAATTTGACCTGTAAGTATTGTCATCGGAGGAGGCCCACCCATTAGCTTCACAAACTCAGAAAATGCCCATTCAAAACTCTCTGTATCTTCGGATGTGAGCAGGACTCCAGCGAATAGAACACTCTGAAAGTGGTTGTTCACTCCAACAAACATCGCAAAAGACATGTCGTAGAAATTAGTTTGGTATGTGGTGTCAAACATCACTACGTCACCGAAGTGGCTATACATCCTTCTGCTGCGGCCACTACACCACATCAAAGACTTGATCCTGTTGTCTTCATCGAGTTGCATAGAAAACATGAAGTCAGGGTCAGTCTTTGATATATGCTGGAATAATTCCATTGTCTTCCGGACGTCGTCTTGTAGATTGTCTTGTGCAATCTCAGCACACACAGTCCTCACTGAGTTCTTCGTGAATGGGACAGATTCAGCTGACCCGCGCATGCTTCGCAATATGCAGTTTACCTTTGTTAATTCAACATTATTCTTCCTGAGATGGCGGATTGTGTCCTTCACAGCCGCGTCGATTGATTTGTGTGAGAATAGATGCATGTTCTCACCACAACTTTCGACAAGGCGGTGATTGTGCTCGTTTACAAGTGAAGACCTTTTACGGTGTTTAGGAGGTACTTGGAGGTGGAACAACGTGTACCTGATCAAGAGAGGGGCAAGAACGACTACGTCTTCTCTCTGTCCGTCTGTGCAGGCCACCCGTGACGACAGAAAAAAGAGGAAATTAGGAAGAGAGGTGAAATGCATCATCTGTGCTGGGATGTTTTATAGTACTTGCTCTAAAAGGTTTGTTGTGTACTCCCTCTGCCGAAGAAGAACAACATTTTTTTGACAAATCAAGCTGAGGTATACACATTTAATTGGAATTTAGAAAAATAAAGGAATTTATTAGGACGTCATTGGTATTTCTCCCCACTACTAATTTGTATGAGAATCGTTAGAAATAAATTTTTTAGGTTTTGTAGTTGGTGAAAAAAGCTCTATCATTATCAGGTCCATAAAATTGGTTGAGGTTAGCCATAGGCATAAAGAAACTAAGTGACCAAGTGGACAAATTAAATGAGGGATGTTATGATTGGTTGAGATAAAAGAGTAGGTACTCAATTGCTATATTATAAGATAAATTTTGAATTCTAGTAACTGTTATATTTGGAATGGAGAAATATTGTTTATTTATTATTAATGGTCCTTTTTACGTAAAAAACCACTACGGTCATTATTTAAAAATGTCCATTTTGCAAAAACATATTTATAAATGGACCATCGTTTATTTAACTGAAGGTGAGGCTTGAAAATTAATTCTATAAAACAAGTATATTTCAAACTTACATAAAAACTTTTTTTTAATAACTCCAGCATATATAGGTGAAAATATGATAATTTTCAATTAAATAACTCCACATGTTGAATTAAGAATTTAATGAAATTGACCTAATCTTACTCAAAATCTTTTGAAATTTCTTTGTTGATATATGCATAAGGATGGGTTAAAAGGACGCGCCAAATGGCGCGTCGATTTTCCAGTGCATTCCTAATGGCTGCCTCAATTGCCCCAGCAAAATTGGGGTTGTTAACAAGCAAATCTGTACCTGCCCAGTGCCTTTTTCGCCTACAAAGCAATGTATTTTGTTTCGATTACAGAAATGTGATCTGCATTGCACTTTGGCAGGAGGTGAGATTTTAAAAAAAAAAGAAAAAAAACTGGACAAATAGAAAACGAAATGAGGGCGCGGAGAAAAGTATGCCGCTAGGCGGTGGAAAACGATATGACCAAAACAATATGCCGCTACAGGGGTGTTGTGTAGAAAAAAAAATGTCAGATCTAGACAAATGAACAGCAGCCATTGGGGGAAAAAGTACCTTTTAGAACCACCGGAGCAAGACGAGTACCCATTGTCGTCGGTCTCCAGTTGCACGGTGCTGTTCTCTTCAACAAAATCTTCAGGCGGGGATAAATCACCATCATCCATGGATTCCCTTTTCAATTATACTAGCGGATGAAGTCATGCGTTCGCGTGACCATGACTATCATATCATGAATTTTGTGTAAGAAAAATCATTAGTGATAGCTGTGTTTCGCTATAAAAATCGAGTTCACCTTTCTCACCATAACATATGTTCCACTCGTCATGACATTTTTTACCGAACATGTCACTTGACACTGCTTAGTCCTCAATTTGCTTTTTACTCCTATAAGAGGAAAATAAAAGAGAAATAGTTTGATTATAAAAAGGATTTAGCAAAGAAAACTCCCAAACAAATTGTGGTGCTAGTTCACATATTGTGTTCCAAATAAATGTCCAAAAGAAGGATTCTCTCCTAACAAAGCCTGTCAACGATTGTAGCCTTCATAGGTGCTTGTCTTCAGAAAATGATCCTATTACTGGGAGCCCTTGTATTGTCAAAGGTGATGTACCTCAAATTGTCAGTTGATGGCTTGCTTCTGTACCAGTAGGAGCATTGGCTTGCCATCTTCCGTTCTTCATTGAGACCACTTTATCTCATTAAACAACATAACTATGTTGTTGCTTCTGTTGATGAGTTGATTTCAGCAGCTGGGAAACCAACAAAAACACGGGTAATTTTTCACTGTATGAGTAAATTTTATGTCAGATGTAAAATGAAGTAAAGTTAACCATGTCTGCAGCCTAGCTATTGTAATTTTTCACTGATGAAGTAATTTTTCACTTTGGAAATCTATTGTACATTAAGAGAATGAAGTGAAGTTACCACTTGCCACCTCGAAAGTTCCATAACCATTGCCCGTGGCCATTTTTATTTTGCTGCTCCTCACCACGACCTTTTCTTGATCATGGCCGGTGAGTCCTTGTATTCCTGGCTTAGACAATTGGTAGTAATACCGCATTTCATATTATCTATGGTAACTTGTTACCCCACATGAGGACATATCACACATAGGAGAGCCTATGTAGAGCACATAAGTACTTTACAGCAAACATTACCTACAGTACATAATATATCTAGGCTGGCCTGAACCTAGTAAAATAAACTTTGAATGGATTCAGGAATAACACAACCCCTATTGTTTTAGTCAAATAAATGATTAACTTTTTTCTGAAGTTCACTGATGAAGCTCAATGCAAGCACCAAGAAATATTTTCCTTTCACCTTGTAACGCTCCGCTTTCCGTGAGACGTTAAAAACTAATTCGGCAAAATCCTAATTGCGAAAATTTTGTTCTTTGAGTGTGAGTCTAAGTCGTGCCATGGATCTCAATTCAATCTCCATCGTTGTTCCCTCTCATCGCCATCAAAATAACCAACCTCAAGAATTCCAATTCCGATTCAAGTCTCCAAATCAAATTCCAAAATTCAAGTCCTCTCTTTGAATTCTCGCCAAATTTTCGCCCGACCCCCAAAATATCGAAATTTTCCCTCTTTTGATCTCTTCCTAGACCCTTCCTCTCATCCAGATACCAATCCAGAAGTCCAAGTCAAATTCCATGTTCAAATCTTCTCCAAATCAATTACTTGGAAGAAGTCTATTTTGCCTCCCTCTATTTTGGATGGACCAATTTCCTCCTTTGGCCCATCTCTCTCGGCCCATTCTCTCTCTCAGCCTTCCCCTACCTCGCTCCGCACGTGCGCCGCACGCGCGTGCGCGTGAGCCATCGTCGAGCCGAGCTCTCTCCCTCTTCTCACCCCGGCGCCAAAACTCCCGCCGCCGCCGTTTGAACCCGCGCGCGCGCTCCTGCGCGGTGGCCGACCGCCCTGGCGCCAGCTGCATCGCGCGCTGCCGCTCTGCCGCTGCACGCCGCTAGCATCCAAAACCGGGAGGCAGAGACCTCCGTGGTCACCACCGGCGTCACCCCCTGTCCGCTGCTCCAAGCCGCGTCCTTCCAAACAATGGAGGCAGAGCTCCTCTCCCTCCCTGCCCCCACTCTCTCTCCCTTTGTCCCTCATCCCGTTTTGGGCAAGGAGCAGAGTCCCCTTTTCCTCTCCCTTTTTTCCTTTTCCCGGCCTCAACCGCTGTCTCCTGCCGCCCGTGGCCACCAGCCGCGCCCTAGCACCAGAGCCAGCTGCCGCCTCGACCGCCCTATGTCGGTTCCCCCTCCCAAACCGCCTTTTCTCCGCCTATAAAAGCCAAGCCACTCCCCCCCTCTCTCTGCTCTTGCCCCTCCACCGCCGTCGCGCCATTGCCGCGTTGCCGCCGAACCATCTCTGCCGCTCGTCGCTTTCGCCTCCTCGCCATCGCGCGTGCCTAGAAGCCGGCGCACGAGGAGCCGAAGAGGACTCCGGCCACCCCTCTTCTTCCCCTTCCCCGGCCCAAGGCCGGAGAACTCGCCCCGCGCCGTCGACCGCCCATCACTGCCCGCCCGGCTCGGTAGTGCCTCCTCCCGTTCCCCTTCCTCGCTCTCCCTCGCCCCCTCTAGTCTGCGTGATAGCTCGGTGGCACTCCCGAACGCGCGTAGACGCCGCCCTAGACCCACCGTCGCCCGGCATGGCCTCGCCGCCGTTGCCGCCTGCTCCCGGAGGCCGCCGCTCGTTGCCGGCCCTCCTCGGTGCTCTTCCGCCCCATCCGACGCCGGAAACGGACTCCTTGAACCCCGGAGATGCTTCCACCGCCTCGAATTGAATCCTCGTCGCCCCTCCGCCGTTTGCCCCTTTTCTCGCCGCCGGCGAGCGCCGCCGCGATTCGTCGTCGCCGGTCTCCCTTCAGTGAATCCGAGCTGGTGGCGCACTCTATCTCCTCTGTCTCATCGTTCCGGTGTGCTCCCTCCCTCTCGAATCGTCGCGACAAGCTCCGGTGAACTCGGCCGCCGTCCGCCGTCCATTCGACCGCGCCCCCTTTCTTCCTCCTCTCGCCGGCCCGCATGGCCGCCGCGTAGGCGCCACGTCGGTGCCAACTTGGCTAGACCGAGTCAAACTGGCCAGCCTCGCTTCCCCCTACGTGCACGCGCGGACCACGGTGCGCCATGCGGCTGCACGTGGGCCCATCGCGCCTCGCTCCACCCGGCGCACGCGCCCAAACCGCGTCCACCAAACCCTATCGCCGCCCCTCCCGTGAGCCCTTCCCTCAGTGAACCCAGTCACCGACAAGCGGGCCCCACCAGGGACCCCGCGAGGTGCACCCGGTCCATCGGTAGGCCTCCCCCTCCCGCGCGCCCCTAATGGGCCGACCACCCGCGCTGCGCATGACCCCTTGGGCCGCGCCTAAAGCCACCCGAGTAAGTCTAAATGACATCCCTCCTTCCTTTTCTTTTCCAAAGGATTTGATAAATCCTTTTCCTTTAGACAGAAAATCCAAATAATCTTAGGAAATCCATATCTCCTCAACCGCTCGTCCGATTGACCCCGTTCCACTTCCAGTAATTCCGTAAAGTTGAGATCTATTTAATGGCACTATTATTTAGTCTAAATAGGGTCTTTTTCTTGGTCTTTTATCTAGGTTTTCGATTGTTTGCGTATAGTTGCGGTTACCGGATTTTCGTCGATCGCGGGTTTTCTCGAAGATTCGTGAAGCTTCGTGAAGACCCTGAGCAAGGCAAGTCACCCTTTGATCAATTGCTCCTATAATTGGAAAATCATTATTATATTGTTTGCAACATGCATTATTAGAATCACACACTTAATTTGTTTGGCGTCGGTTTGCGTGCCAAACCGACGGACCTACCCAGTAGTCACACTAATTCCTGTAGGTTGTACTACCCTGATTCCTTGTCGCTCTACCCTTGTGGTACTTCGGTATCCGTGCTCTCTGAGCGCGCATACCAAATATCCCACATACGCCGTTGATTGTCGAAAACTTGGGAAATGGGTTTGTGAAGCCTTTAAAACCCGACATGTGGTGTCGGTGTGTTTGAAAATAAAATAAATTGTGAAAACTCGCGATGCGGGAGCCGTGCCTACGTGGCGCTGTCCCGTATTCGCATATAAGGACCAATTCCTGTGGGAAACTCATCGAGCATAATCAAAGTGCAACCACAAGGTGGAATGGGACACCCTGGCTAAGTAACTAGTCGGTTCAGGGAGACCTCACATGCCAATAGTTGGGAACGCCGGGGCGGGGTCGGTTGGAGCCAAACCGGGTTCCTGGTAAGCAAGGAAGAGAAGCTTGCAGAATTACCGATCGAGGTGATTGGAGTTTGATTTGTGAATGCCTAAAATGGCCTAAATTTATGTGAGGACTTGATCCTTCTATGTGGCATGAGGTATCCCTCGGTCGGCTTGGGAAAGGCTTTGTTGCGAACCTCTGACACCGGCCAGTGTCTGGAGTAAGTTCGTGTCTTGTGGATAAAGTGTACCCCTCTTCAGAAGTTAACTAACTGTTCGAACAGCCGTGCCCACGGTCATGGGTGGATGTGAGGTGGTTCCCGTTGCGTAGATTTGTTTGCCTGTGCTTTGTGAAAAGTTGTTGTGGTTTGGGAATCGTAACCAGAATCAGCCTATGTGGCAGATGGATGACCTGAGTGGTCAGAAACGAATCTGTGTGATTCGGAATGTCTATGGGCATCATAGACTAGGCTTCCCGAGTGGAAGCGGATTGTTGCTGCTGGGCAGCTGGACTCTGGGAGTCCGAGAAAATGAAAAAGGCTCTGGGAGCCGCCTAATCAAGTGAAATGGCTTTGGGAGCCGATAAGTAATGATATGACCCGGGGGGTCGGTACATTACCATTTGAGTTGTTGAAAAGCATCTCTTAAGTCGAATCGAGACGCAAGTCTCCTTTCGACCCAAAGTTAAAAAGAAATAAATCACCTAGTGATTTCAAAAATGATTTCAAACAAAGGATTTGCAAAACAACCTTGCCTCTCTTCCAAGCTTGCATTAAACACCTAAGTTCCCGTGACTTGCTGAGTACGAAAGTACTCACCCTTGCTCTATATAAATATATATAGTTCCTCCGCCTTGAAGTGAAGATTAGGGTTTCGTCCTGGTTCCCAGCCGTCGCCTGTGGTGTTGGGTGTTAGTTCGTTGGTTCCGCTGCTGCTGCTGTTGTTGGTGTTTCCTCGTCCGTGTCGTCAGTTGCATTCTCGGGTTGTTCTGAGCTGCAACCTAAGTTAAGGTAAATAAGTCCTCTATTTATTTTAAGGATTTGCAATGATTCATATTTGTCACCGTGGGTACCAGCACTATGTCCTGGGACTGGTACCGAGATCGCGGTTTCGTAGGAAGCGGTTCGTGCCCTTTTTCCTACGACACGCTCCTATCAGGTGCCGTTGTACGGCGGTGCCGGATTGGGGTGTGACACACCTTAACTTAAATAATTATTCTCATGTTCGACCAATATGCTTGCTGACAGTAAGCAAACAGGCAACACATAGATAGTTTGTTACTCAACTCTTTGTTTGAGCTGAACCTTGACATCGCTGGAAAAATTTGATTTCACATTACTCGATCAATTCAGAAAAAAATCAGCTTTTGTTGCAAATCAATCATAACTTTTTTTTCGTTAAGCTAGTGCTACTCTGGACAGTTGGAATGGAAGGCGAAGGGTAGATTTGTACCTGTAATTGGGAAAAGGAAACTTACACCCTCAGACTGGTTGTTAGTAGTCACTTTGTCTACATTGCTGCAAAATAAAATCAAAATTTACAAATAACTTTGTCTACATTGCTGCTAATCTGCAACCATTCTAACTATTCATTTGAGGATTCTTCTAGTTATCATTTTGTTTTTTCAACATTGTTTCATTCACTATTGAAGTTAACTATTGTTAGAGAAAACATGAAAATATGAACAAAGGGAACACTATGCAAAAATGCAAAGGTGGCTGCTGGGGTAGTACTTTGTACCTCAAAGCTCATTTTAGCCCATCTATTGACATCACATTTACTGGTTGTAATGATTTATTGGATTGGACCATTCTTGGGGAGGATTGAGTTTGACCATGGAAATGTCGTTTGAAAGATGTTTGGAGGCAAATTCCAGGTTTATGTAGATGACGTGGCGTAACAATTTTACGTGAAGGGTTTCACCTTTCACTTATTTAGATGTTTTTAGCACTCGTCAGTTATAGAAACAGATAAACCAAAAAGTTCTTAGGATTCAATTCCTTACATCATGGCGCTGTGCCCGCTGCTATGCATCAAATCTATCTCTGCCGCAACATTACACGAACTGCAGTGGTCGCCGGAAAAGAGAAAAACAAACTAAGATGGATAAATCAGATTATAAATGCAAACCTCCCTAAATACTTACGGCACTTCATTGTAGTAATGCATTCTGGGATGCGTGTGGTTCCCTTGCCTATGCCCATGGAGATCTGCTCCGCCCTAGCAAGCTCTATCTCACTACACATTTGAAATGGGAAAAAAAAAGAACACCGTTAGAACTTTTCCATGGACAAAAACACGCCCAGGTTAAGAGCGCGGGGGATATTAAGATATATCTGCCCGGGTCGGCTGGCTAGTGCATGCTAGCCATCAGTTGGAGAAATGAACGAGTTGGGTGGAGATCTCCCAGGCGGCCGGAGGAAGGAGAACAAGAGATGAGAGACTGAAGAACACAAAGATGAACGGGGGGAGTAGTAGTATCTTTTTTGCTTTACCCACATCTGGTGGATGCGAACTACTCGTGGCTTGTAAAAAAAATGCTGGTAGTACAGTATACCGATGTGACCGGTATACGTATGTCTCTAAATACAATGACTTTGGGCGGAATACGGGGCAGGGCTGGCACGAATCTCGGAGAGAGGATCGACGACGAACAGCGTGGGTGGACATCCTCCTAAGCGATCAGAATCCATCCTCCTTAAATATTGATGTCAAATTCATGACAGCAAGCAAAAAAAAAATAATGAGAGCATTGTGGTACCTGTTAGAGATACTTCCTCCATCTACTTTTGATAGTCATATTTCCAAATCTGAAAAATTTATTTTTGATAGTCATATTTCAATCCAACAACTTATCATCTTAATGACTTTCTCAGATTTAATGCGTGACTCTCCATTCTTCCACACATGATTGGCTACATGGGCATTGAGAAATGTAAATATTAATGAATTGCTTGTTTACGAGGAATGACTACTAGCATGTTTAAATGGATGATAAGTAAAATTACTTATCTTTGGTCTGTGTGCCAAAAGTAGATGGAGGGAGTATAAAGTTATCCTTCTTGCTCTGCTTGTATTCACGGTTTTTTTTTAAGATTGGCCTCTTTTTCATCAGTGCATAGTGAAGCGTATCTCTCCCTGACACGATTTGTTGTGACTGCAAGTACATTTAAATCAGTGACATAGTAGGAGAACCTGAATCCAGAAGACATTATTATCACACTGGAGCATGGTACCGAAGCTAAAAGTATGACACCTTCTATATTAGAAAGAAATATTGGAAAGAAGAGGAGACAATAAACCTGTTGATTTTGACGAATGTGATATCGAGATTCCTGTCTTGTCTATTGCATTAGATGGGTACTTTTATTGCAGTACTCAGAGGCAGTGATGGAGGGTTGGTACTACTGGTAATGATCACCGTGGGTCCAATAAAAATAGCAAAGTTACATACTCCACCGAAGCTGATAATATATGTCTAGCAACTCAAAATATTAAACGCAAGCAGCAGTGAGCTTGCCGATTAAGATTAAGATCAAAACTTGCTGAACAAACGTGAGCTGCGTGATTAATATTAAGATTATTATTCTAGTGTTATCGACTCAATTAATCGACAGGCTCCCATGAGTTAGTGGCCAACACATTCCAGGATCCTAGCTCTGCATGGCTGCCTGCAGAAGCACACACGAAACAACCTAAAACAACTCTGAAACTAAAACTCTAAACTCTGAAAAATGGCTGGAAAAGCGATAGATGTTAAGAAGAAAAGATTCCTGCAAAATGGCGAGATCTCTTTACTCTTATTGGCTAGCTAGATGCATGCGTATAAGTTATGGCAATATTTTATATATTGTCAATCAAACATAAACAGTGTAAGTTCACTGAGACAAGAAAATAAACATCCCCATAAACCCTGTGACAAGAGGCATGGAGAGACCACTCAAAACTTAACTGGTTAATTTTTGTTTTTACATTTCAATTCAGATCAGTTACACAACTTTTTTCAAGACTTGTACAGTGTACCTCTCATTTGGAGATTGCGCATGAAATTGCAACGACATCAATTGTCTACTGCTTCTTCAGGCTCCATTTCTCGGAGAGACCACTCAAAGCTCAACATGATGTTTTTGGCTATCTGGCGTTTAAAGATTAATAGTATGATTATGTGGACCATGTTAACAAATTAAGTTAGAGTGAATGGATGCAAATTAACAGACAAATTAACAGAGAGAGAATCGCACCTGAGAGGAGAGGTCGGTGCTGGTGATGATGGCGGCGGCGGCGGTGACGCCGTTAGTCAGCATGGGAGAAGGTGCAAGCGACCTGAGACCATGACGGCTGTGCGCGACGAAGGAGACACGGCGACGACGACTGAACGGTGGCGGTGCGGAGAAGATCCTAAGGCAGCGGTGAGGGGAGGCAGGCGA